ATTTCCCACAGACCTCTCCTTCAGCTGCTAGCAAGTAGTCGAGAGCTAATCTATTTTGATAGATAGCATTTCTCATCTGAGTTTCTTTCCGGGCCAGAATAGTGAAGGCTCTGCCGGTTTTATTAGTGATTATTTTTAAGACAGCTTGTAACCGTATGATTCGGTTGGCCATGTAACTGGGGGTCCGGTGTCCCCATGAGCCATCTTGTGCATAAGTAGCAGGCCTATAATATTGTATGATTCTCTCAGGGGGCCATTTATAATTTTTTTCAATTTCTTATAGCTATGCTTCTCTTTTCACAGGAAGCATAGACAAGGAAGCCCAAGAGTTCACCTGTTTTTATGGGCAGTAGGAAGAAAGATGGTTTAATAGTGCTAGTAACACAACTACCTGCCCACTGGTCAGGTAATTTGGCTTAAGCTCTATGCCCACATATCCAGTATAATCCAGTAGGGGCGGTCCAGTCCCGGTGGGACTCCGGGTGGGTCCACACAGTTTGCAACTTTAGGAATTTACTAAATGGGTTTCTCTGTGTGATTTGAACTCCACCAAGTGACTGTTTTTGTGGTACCATTATACAGTTTCTGTCTCAGACAACTAAGTCATCCTACGGGGTGAGTGAATTCTTTTCCTTCTCTAGCTATGCAATATTGTCTAATAATTGAGGCTTTTAGGACCCAAAAATTAGCAGGGTGATTCTTTTGAGCCTGGAATTCATCAGGAACTGGGTCTATAGGTACTAATTCTCAGGCTTCCTATGGCCATTGATCTCCCACTACAGTTCCTCCACATACATAACATGAAGTGACATTGAGAGACTGGGCTACATGCTCGGCTAATTGCAAAAACACATTTCTTGGTTTTCCTGGAATTTCTGGTACTGACACTTTTAGTTTATCATAGAAGGTTTGAAATACTGGCTCAGGAGAGCGTTTGTAAACTCTTTCTCAAACCACAATGTTTACTTGAAGATCCAGTCTAGTTCCACCAATTTTTAGGATTACATGTTCCCCTTTTTTTCCAGTGAGGATCAAGGGGATTGGTTATTACTAGCTCTAAGGGGTTACATTGTCCCTTAGTACAGGAAGGGCCATTTTTTCCCTTTGTGAAGGCGGCCTGGATCCTTTTCATTTTTTTTTTTTATAATCCAAGTGGCCTAAATGACACAAGAGCAGTATTTACATTTATTTCCACACAGTCCTAGTTTATGACAGGTGTACTTATTTTCTGCCATATAGCTTCTTTTCTAATTAAGAGAACTACACCTTATTCCTAACTTACTACTATTAGTGACAGCACAAGCACCAAGATTTTAAGGTGACTTGTTTGGGCACCCTTTTTATTTTCTTTCTTCCTGTTTTGGCTAACACTTGCATCATTTATGAGCCCCTACCAGTCTTCAGTTCTTAATCTTATTTTTAAAAATGTGGTCATGGGAGGCTCAGATGGGTCATAACACACATCAGGTTGGTCATTTCCTGGGCTACATACCTTGTATAGAATAACATTATATAAACAAGTTCTTTTTAGAATTCCAGTACACTTATAATAACTGTAAAATAGTAGGACTATAGCACCCCTTTGTCCTACCTCAGTGACTTGATATATACACTGGGAACAGTCCTCAGTCTGAGGAAGGTCAGTTGAAGTCCTTACTGTACAAGTCCAAATTTCAAGGAAAATGAGTCCCGCCATGAGTTTCCTCATGCTTTAGCCGTGCGTGGACCAGCTTCCAGGTGTGACTGAGGCAGGCTTGTCATCTTCTTCAGAGTCATTTTGCAGGGATTGGCAAAGCTGCTCCCATCCATGTACTGTTTACAGTCTACTGATGTTTAAGGATGGTGTTGGAAGTTGGGCCTGCTAGGATAAACTGTGTCCAAAACCTCTACATAGTTATGTTCAGCTGGGCTCTCTGATACTGGGAGCAAGGTGGTGGGGCTTAGGGTGTTGCAAACTTCACTGGTTATGTGGGGATTTTCACATAGCAAGCTTTGGTACTTGGTTAATCTAGCATTTGTTAACCAATGATGTCCTTTGGTATTTATTAAAATTACCATAGCATGGGGGGCCTTTATATTCAGGTTTTGCCTAAGGGTTGGTTTATCTGCTTCTTGTGCTAACAGGGCCGTTGCTGCTAGGGCCCTTAGACCTGGGGATCAGCCTTTGGAAACCCTGTCTAGTTGTTTTGAGAGATAGGCCACTAGCCTTGGCCAGGAACCCAGTCTGGGTTAAAACTCCAACTGCCATTTTTCCTCTTTCTGACACATAGAATGTAAAGAGTTTTGTCAGGTTAGGTAACCTCAGGGCTGGGGCCAACATGAGTTTTTCATTTAACTCATGAAAACCTCATTGCTGTTGGTTGTAATAGATGTAGTTTATTTGATCTACATTTTTATTAACTGTCACCCACCAAAATATTGACTTAAATCCTGCAGCTGTTTTATTTCCAGCTTTAAATTGATCTGGTATTCCTTGTGAGACTCTAATTGCATCTAAATAGACACGAGAGTCGAAAGACCCATAAGGGACTTCTCTCACTTTATGATGTCTTACTATTTTTTTTCCTTCTAGTTGATGAAATGCCAGGGTGAAAGGGATAGCCAATTGGACTAAAGTACAAGTGCCACTCAGTTGTTCGGCAGAGTGCCCAGTAAAGGTCTACCACCATACCACCACACATCTGGTCAGGGATGAACAAGGGCTGACTGATTGATATTTTAACCATAATCTTACCTGACCCCCAAACATTCCCAGTCCTTTCATGATTTGCAATTTCCAAATGTTGTTTGTCTCTAAGGTATTCTATCCCATTCTGTGTATTGTCTTTTAACTCACTTAGTAGAGTTCTTTTGTACACAAAAGGTTTAAATTTTGATGAAGTCCAATTTATTTTTCTTTTGTTGCGTGCGCTTTTAGTGCCACTGTCAAGAAATTATTGCCAAGTCTGATGTTATGAAACTTGTCCCTGATCTTTTCTTCTGAGAGTTGTAGAGTTTTAACTCTTACACTTAGATCTCTGATCTATTTTCAGTTATGGTTATATGGCGTTAGGCAATGCACCATCTTCATTCCTTTGCATCTGGATATCCTGTTTACCCAGCACTGTATGTTGAAAAAGACTATTCTTTCTTGTTCTTGGCATCCTGTGGAAAATCATTTGACCATGTATGTGAGGTTTTATCCCTAGGTTCCCTATCCTATCATATTGGTCTATATTTCTGTGCTTACAGAAGTACCATATTGTTTTGATTACTGTAGTTTTGAAGAAATTAGGAAGTATAAATCTTTGGTCTTCTTTTTTTAAGATGGTTTTGGCTGATCGGGGTCCCTGGTGACTGTATATTAACTTTTGGATGGATTTTTCTATTTCTGCAGAAAGTACTGTTGGGATTTGAATAGGCATTGCATTGAATCTAGAGATCACTTTAGGTAGTACAGCACTGTCGTTTTAACAGCAGTCAGTCATCCAAATCATAAACGTGTTTGTTGCCTTTCCATTTATTTATGTACTCTTTTATTTCCTTCAGCAATGTTTGTAGTTTTCAGTTTACACATATTTCACCTCCTTGGTTAAGCTAATTCCTAAGTATTTTCTTCTCTTTGATGCTAATGTAAACATAATTTTTTCTTAATTTCCTTTCAAATTGTTCACTGCTTGTTTATAGAATTCCTACTGATCTTTGTGTATTGAATTTGTACACAACAATTTTGATAAATTTCTTTATTAGCACTGTGGTTTTTTGGTGGAAATTAAAAATTCTGCATATAAGATTATATCATCTCTTTCTTTTTTTCTTTTTCTTTTCTTTTTTTTTTTTTTTTTTTTTTTTTTTTGAGACAGGTCTCGCTCTGTCGCCCAGGCTGGAGTGCAGTGGCACAATCTCGGCTCACTGCAAGCTCCACCTCCCGGGTTCACGCCATTCTCCTGCCTCAGCCTCCTGAGTAGCTGCGACTACAGGTGCCCGCCACCTCACCCTGCTAGTTTTTTGTATTTTTTAGTAGAGACGGGGTTTCACCAAGTTAGCCAGGATGGTCTCGATCTCCTGACCTCATGATCTACCTGTCTCGGCCTCCCAAAGTGCTGGGATTACAGGCTTGAGCCACCGCACCCGACAATTTTTTTGTATTTTTAGTAGAGACAGAGTTTCACCGTGTTAGCTAGGATGGTCTCGATCTCCTGACCTCGTGCTCTGCCCGCCTTGGCCTCCCAGAGTGCTGGGATTACAGGCATGAGCCACTGTGCCCAGCCCAGATTATATTATCCTGAATAGAATGTTTTTTATGTTTTGTTTTGAGACAGAGTTTCGCTCCTGTTGCCCAGGCTGGAGTGCAATGATGTGATCTCAGCTCACTGCAACCTCTGCCTCCTAGGTTCAAGCGATTCTCCTGCCTCAGCCTCCCAAGTAGCTGGGAATACAGATGTGCACCATCACGCCTGGGGAATTTTGTTTGTTTTGTTTTGTTTTGTTTTGTTTTGTTTTGTTTTGTTTTACTAGAGACAGGATTTCACCATGTTGATCAGCCTGGTCTGGAATTCCTGATGTCAAGTGATCCGCCCGCCTCGGGCTCCCAAAGTGCTAGGATTACAGGGGTGAGCCACCATGCCCGGCAAATAGAGATATTTGTACTTCTTTCCAATTAGGATGCTTTTGAATTGCTTCTATTTCTTACCTAATTACTCTGGCTGGGACTTCTAATACTATGCTAAATAGAAGAAGTGAGGTTAATTTCCAGCATATGTAAGAAACTCCTATAAATCAATAGCATGGGCAACACAGCAAGACTCCACCTCAAAAAAAAAAAAAAAAAAACTATGAAAACAAAGAGTAGTTAAGAGGGTATGTCTCATGGGTGTTCTTACTATAATAATTTATTAAGGTCATGAAAGCTGACATTGTCTAGTTCATAATTGTAGGGGGAAATCTGAGTTTTTTCCAGCATTGAGTATGGTGTTAGCTGTGGGTTTTTCATATATGTCTTTTTATAAGTTCAATGATTGCACATTTGGAAGAAAAGATGTGCAGCATCAGGACAGGTCCATGAGAGGGGACATGGAAGGCCAGGGGAGGACAGGGCCATACTTTTCCACATGGCATGGGCATAATGCTTTACAGCTCATGGAAAAAAATCCATTATAAGTGATGTGGGCTGGGCAGAGTAGCGGTTGTGACTTTTATGATTCAGGGCACTGAAATTTAGATTCAGGGACTTGCTCAGAGTAACAACACTGAGGAGTAATGAAGCTAAGGCAGGGAATTTAGTTGGTTCCCTGGAGATGGAGATCCCTGAGCGCCTGAGACCGGGGGTCCATGCCCTGGACTCCAAAGCAAGGACCCTTCTCACTCCTTTCTCAAATCCTCCCACCCCTATGGCTGCTGCAGGGAGACGCTGATGCCTGGAGAAGGTGCTTGGCCTAAGAGAAGGGCCCAAATCGTGATTCAACTCCCGGCTTTACATTTCAACCCCTGACCCAAAATGTAATGACTTTCCCCAAAAGAAGCCCTGCTGAAGGCCCGGGGGACCAGATTTGTCTATCTGCCTTAGCACTTGACTGTAGCTGCCTTGTGGGGAGGCTTCCCTGTGGTCAGGTGACTGCTCCGAATGACCAGAGCCTCCTTGACTTTCAACTGACTCAGAACCCAGGACGTTCCAAACCAAATGCCCATGTGACAGTTGTCCTTAGAATTAGATTCACCTCCCAACTGACTGAACCAGCAGTTGTCCTTAGAATTAGATTCACCTCCCAACTGACTGAACCGGGCTGCTGGGCAGTTAATAGGATTAACTGAAAAAGCGGCCTACAGGGCTGGTGCTTGGACGGCTCAAGGAGTGAAGTCTGCAAGCTCCCACAGTGTCACTGCCTATCGATCAGAGCAGCCTGGCCTCAGGCCTGGCTGAGAAGGGGCAGTGGTGGCACCAGCCCTGAGTGGGTGCCTCACCACTCCCACCCTTCCTCACCAAAACTCAGGCCCTGCTGTACAAACTACAGCAACTACTTCAATCTCTTTAACGGCTTCAGGTCTACAGTGCCTTCAGTACAGTAACTGGCAGGGGGTGATGTCGGGGCTAAACCTGCTGTCTGTCCAGGTGCTGACTGGGATGCCTCTGGGAATGGGCAGGAGAGTTCCTTGACCCCAGATCACTTTTCTAGTGTATCCCATATTTAAACCTTCCTGATCTTGTTGTATCTTTGAGGCGTTATCTTCAGAAAATACATTCAAGGATGGGCATGGTGGCTTATGCCTGTAATCCCAGCACGTTAGGAGGCTCAGGCAGGTGGATCACCTGAGGTCAGGAGTTGAAGACCAGCCTGGCCAATATGGTGAAACCCCATCTCTACTAAAAATACAAAAATTAGCCAGGTGTGGTGGTGGGCATCTGTAATCCCAGCACTTTAGGAGGCTCAGGCAAGTGGATCACCTGAGGTCAGTAGTTCAAGACCAGCCTGGCAAATATGGTGAAACCTCTTCTCTACTAGAAATACAAAAATTAGCCAGGTGTGGTGGTGGGCACCTGTAATCCCAGCTACTTGGGAGACTGAGGCAGGAGAATTGCTGGAACCCAGGAGGCAGAGGTTGCAGTGAGCTGAGATCATGCCTTTGCACTCCAGCCTGGGCAAAAAAAAGTGAAACTCAGAAAAAAGAAAGAGAAAAGGACAAAGAAGAGAGAGGAAGGATGAAAAGAGGGAAGGAGGGAGAGAGGGAGGGAGGGAAGGAAAGGAAAAAGGGACAGAAAAAGGAAAGATGAAAGGTCAAAATAGAGACCACTCTTGACATGTTGATGGCAGGAGACCATGAACAAGTGTTAACAACCTTCCCAGGCCACACTTTGATTCACCAGCTGCCTAGGGGAGCAACTAAGTCAAAGTTGGGCTTAGGAGGGAGGGGTCTGCAGTGTGGTGGGCACTTAAAATACACAACAGGCCGATTGTGTCAGGACGTTACTCCAATGAGAGGAGACAATTCAGGAGGACAGCTGAGCTCAGTGACTGAAAGCAAGGGACAGATGCTTGATGGCCTGGGCTCAGATCCTACCTAGAAGCTGGGGGACCCTGGGAAGGGAGAGGTGACTTAACCCTCTTGCTCAGTCCCCTGCTGTGTGATATGGAGGTGTTATGGGGCCTGCCTGTTAGCATCATGTTCTGAAGCTTACCTAAGCAGATCCATATTAAGCCTGAAGAAAAATGACTGGCACTTCATAATGCTATACAGTGTTCATGTGAAGCCTCTGCAGGAAAAAGACAGACACGTAGCAGTAGTTGCCTCCAGAGAGGAAACTTGGTTGACTACAAGACATGGAAGGTGGAAGATCTCTTCCAGCCTTTATATGGCAGGATGCCTTATAGCTCCTCAAGGGAATCTGCCCTCATCCTCTGACTTCATATGAGCCCTGTGGGATGGGCAGAGCAGGGCTGTGACCCACATTTTACAGTTGAAAACTGACATTTAGAGGGGCTGATTTTCCAAAGCCACACACTGAGGAGGGATGGCTGGAGCTAGGAATGAAGTTGGTTCCCTGGAGCTGAAGATCCATCAAGCAGAAGCCCTCTGGGTCTCGCCTTGGCACCTGAACCAGGGCTTCCCTCACTCCATTTCCCAATCTTGTTCCAGGATTGCTTTGGGAAGAGCTACTGTCCTGTGGAAGGTGCCTGACCCAGCCTTCTGCCTCTGCATTTTAATCCTGACCCAAAATATGATGCAGCCGATCCCAAACAGAGGCCCCTTGAAGGATCAGCACGTCCAGTCTGTGTCACTCCTCCCCCAACACCTCACAGCGTGGCTGCCTCAAGGTGAGGTGTCCGGTGCTCCAGCGACCGCCCTGAATAACTAGTGGCTGCTTGACTCCCAACTGCCTCAGAGCTCAGGACAAGTGGAGGAACTGGTTTCTTTCTTAAAGCCAGATATGGCTGCAAGCCAGCTGCAACCTTACGACAGCATCACAAAAAATAGTTTCACCAAAACTGATAAACTCTTATGAACAGGAGGCTGGCTGGTTGCTGCTCGGGTGGTTTGGTGAGTGAAGCCCACAACCTCCCAGGGTCTCATGGACTGAAGAGCTGAGCAGCTGTCTGAGCAGCCTGGGCTCAGGCCTGACTGAGAAGGGGCAGTGGCTGCTCCAGCACAGAGGGTGCACCTTCGTGCTCACATCATTTCTCACCGAGAATTAGTCTCTACAAGCTCCTCCTCCCACCACCAGACCTCTGAAAAGACAGGGGCAGAGTACAACTCCTCTTAGAGGGTCTGTCCATTGCCACAGCCTTCATACCCCCAGCCCAGGATCCTTCCCGAGGACCACGCAGGGCCTCCTTCCCTCTGTCACCAAATGTGCATTCCACTAACCCGATGGCACTGTTCTTTCTCACCACTCTCCCCAGCTGCACCCAAACAGCCAGTGGTCCTGTCCTCATCAAACCCATGCAAATCCCACCGTGAGATTTCAGTTGCTGTTTGTCCCGAGCATGTCTGAATCGAGACTGCTGAAGATTGATACAGATTTGACAGATACACTCAGGAACCTTTGGTCTGAGATGCCCCTCCCTGCTGTATCCGCTGCTGCGGTGGTGTCGAGATTCTCCTAATCTGACGAAGGCAGCCTGGATGCGTCTCCACATCTCGTCTCTGGAAGAGTATGCGGGAGACTGGCTGCCTTTCTCCCGTAAACATTTGTTAGGAATCAGAGGAACCAAACTGTGCTGGCCTCTGAAGTTGGCGTTGTGGCCATTTTTTTCTGTTGATACGTTTTGTTTTAAGGATGGTGCAGTGCTCAGATATTAAGTGTACAGTCTTACAGTTCCTTATAAACATGTTTAAACACACAGAACGTCACCAGCATTCTGGCAGCCTGCCGTGGCTGGGGATGGGAATCACACCGAGCAACTAAACCAGTTACTCCATGTGTGTTCTGAGCACAAGACTACACGTCATTAGCACAGAATGAGCAGGGCGGCACCCTCAGAAGCAGGTGGCAGAGCAGGAGAGTTGGAAGAAGCCAACAGAGGAGGTTCTGTAGGGGATTGCACAGAGCTAGAGAATCTGGGCATTGGCTTCCCAGAAATGGACTCACAAAGTGCAGCCCAGAAGCAGCCTGCCTTTGTTTAGCCAGCTGTTCAGATTTATATATTATCTTACATTTTATAGAATCTATTGAAAACTAGCAATAGATTTTGTTTAACGTAAAAATGTTCAACATTAAATGTAGAATATAATTCTAAACCTAATCCCAAATCGATAATATTCAAAAACTAACTGCCCTTCAATGAGGTGAAGCAGGCTCCTGTCTGACTCAGTCTCCCCAGAACGAATCACACTCCAGATCCTCTCTGGGCCTAGGAGAGATCTGCACGTCACGGCCTTCCTGGGTGTTGGGACAGGGATCTGCAACACAGACACATGTCACTGGAGAGGCCAGAGAGGGAGGGAGGAGGGCTTTGCTTGGCTGGGTGTGCAGGACCCAGACGGTTCCTCAGGGCCTTAAAGTGACCTGGTGCTGATGTCCCTGGGTCAGATCCACAGGGCACTGAGCCTGGTTGCTGCTCTCAGGACCTCTGCTGAGGGTGTTGTGTGACCACAGAGAGTGCCTGTAAATGTCCTGCAAGGAGCAAAATAAACTAGAACTTCACATGGGCAGCCCTCCAGAGATACTGAATAGCCCTGGATACTGAAACAGAGGAATGGGGAGGGCTCCAGGATGAACAGGTAGAGTCCCCTGCACCTGGGCCCTGAGAGAACAGGAGGTCTGATGACACAGGAGTGGGAGAGGTGACCCTGTCCCTCCACCAGGACCCTCAGCAGGATAGGGTCAGGAACCGGCACATCCCATGGACAGCGTCCTGGAGCTCTTTGTTTTCCCTAATGATCATTTTTTCTTTCTAATCACCCAACCAAACTTGCCTGTACTTTTTAACAGGGAAATCACTGGGCGGTGGGAGGACAGTTCAGGGCACCTTCACTGGCTTGCATGGGTGCTCAAGGCACCTGTGTGGCCACCCACAAGCTGCCGCTCCGTGTTCTCCTGGGATGTGTTGGTTTTTCTGATGTGTCCGTAAGAAAGTGAGGGAAGGAACAGGGCCGCACCACTTGCTTGCTTCCCTTCATCATGCTGCACGCTCCACACTCCCATTTCATCTCTCTCTTCTCCATCTATTATGTCCTTCATGTCTTGACCTGGATGGAGAATAAGAGAATTTCTTGACTTGTGAAAGAAAGAGAAGAATCATACATGTCCAGAGTGCCCCAGTGCAGGAAAAACCCTGTGATAGGGGTTCCCAGAGCAGACCCAGATTTCCCAGGAGTCCCTCCACCATGGTGAGCCCAGCCCTTCATACCTCCAGCCCAGCTCCCTGCCTGGAACACTCAGGGCTGCTCAGCAGGATTCAGTGCTGCACCTTGGGGTCGACACCAGGGCTTCATACCACAGCCTTCATACCCCCAGCCCATGATCCTTCCTGAGGACCACACAGGGCCTCCTTCCCTCTGTCACCAAATGTGCATTCCACTAACCCAATGGCACTGTTCTTTCTCACCAGTCTCCCCAGCTGCACCTAAACAGCCAGTGGTCCTGTCTTCATCAACCCCATGGAAATCCCACCATGAGGGCCAAGACAGTGGGCGGAGGGCTGGGAGAGATTTCATAGACAGACAGTGAAGACCCAAGGACCTCAGCTGCCTGGGTGAGACCAGGCCCTTCACAATGATGACCCTAAAAGAGGAAAGAGGGAATGGGGCACAGCAACCAAGAGGAATGTATGCAGAGGAAAGAGAATATCAAAGAGACACTAGTAGGAAAGAAAATGACATGCAGATCGCTGTTCTCTGCATCTGTAACTTCATCTTCTATATCATATGCCTTGGCAGGTATAAGAGCTGTGATAATAACGGGGTGGCCTTGGGGAAAGAAAAGGTAGGGTTAGAATTGAGGCGGCACCTTGGGCCCTGATGCTCCTGGCAATTTAAAGCCCAGCTTCCGAACTCAATTCTCCCTCATCTCTACGGTCCTATCTCAGGACCTCATCACTTCACCTCTGCAGTTCGGGACAAGGATCCTAAGAGAGGGAAAGAGGGAATAGGGGAGAGCTGCAAAGATATCATGAATAAGAAAGAAGTTAGAAAATGAGGAAGAAAGAGGAGGAAAAAGACATGAAAGAGAAACGACACGCAGATTGTTGCTTTCATGGTCAGAGACTTCAGTGTGCAAAGTAATTTTCTGAGCATCCATTTGCAGAAATGGGGTGGCGCTGGGAAAGGAAAGGAGAGAGTGATCATGGAGGTGCACCCTGGAGGACCCGGTGCTCTTTTCAGGAACAGCCTGACCTTAGATTCTCTTCTATCCTCAACGCTCCTCACCCGGAGCCTCCACAGCTTCATGTCTGTGATGACAGAGGAGGTCTAGGATCTCTTGGCCTTTTCCAGCCCTCAAATCCTGTAACTGTGATAAGGCAGGAATCATACCTTGGACCCTGAACCAACAGCTCTGTTTTAGGTGCCGTGATTCATGTTAATGACTTTTCTCTTCCCCCTCACCGAAGCAGCTCACAGCATTCTGCCTCAATGGCCCATATCCTTCAGTGTTTGGAAAAGTGCATAGAAAGCAAATCTGTGGCCACATTTTTAAAGGATGTCTCAGATTCCTTCTGGCTTCTCTTCTCGACACAGACAGAAGAGGGGTCCCTTGGTGCTGAAATAGAAGCCACAGGCCCACTCAGACATCTGGAGAGGCTCTAGTTGGTGTTCATTCATTCAACACACGTATACAAAACACCTCATTTGTGCATCGTTCTTCCTGTGGCTTGGCATAATTTATTAAACAAAGCCGATGACAATCCTTGGACCTCAAGTCTACTCAGAGTCAGGCGCTCACAGTAGACAGAATAAACAGGTCATATCTACAGAATGTTAGAGGTGAAACCCTCATGACCTCCTCTACATATGGTGGCATCCTCCCAGATTTTGACTAGAATGACAGAGCCCAGCAACAAGTATAAACCAGGTGAATTTAGGGTTCTAAAGGGCCTTTTCACCCATAAAACATGGGGGAAAATATGTGGACTCTGGCTGGGAAGAGCCCTGGAGCTCATACTTCTTATACTCCCTGAGAAGTCTGACATTCTGGGACTTCTCCTAGAAGAGGCAAATAGTCAATGAGTTCTGTAAATGGAGATTTAGGCCCCCTGCAATGGGGACAGTTTATTTCAAGAGAGGAGACATGGGTTGAATGCTGGTATGTTTTAACTCTGCAGAACAAATAGTTGCAACAAGTGTGGTGAACTAATCACCCACCGGCCTTTTGCTGCCTTGTTATTGTGCCTAAAGTGTAAGTAAGTGAATCTATTGAATGCCACTGCATGCACACTTTGGCTAAATGGTTCAAATGATAAATATTGTGTTAAGTATATTTTTCCACAATAGAAAACACACACAGCCAAGCCCAGATGCCAGTCTTGCTAGCAGCCTTCCTTTACTTTCAAGAGTGGGCTGAGGCTCATCTGATCGCTCAAGGTATCTCGGAAGCTTACCATCAAAGTAGTCTCCATTGGAAGAGAAATTAATGGAGAGAGGAGAAAACTTCAGAATCCACACTACTCACTTCACAGGGTCAACAATTCTGTCTCCTGTGCATTGCTGATCCATCTCAGTATTTCCTGTGAAGTCCAGTATTTCCTTTTTCAACTGAAGACTTTGCACCTGAAGGGCTTCCCAGGTTTTTCACCTTGGCCCTTGTCAGGACTGATCCTCTCGGCTACTGTCCATTTCACCTCCATTCATGTCCATACTGTGTTGTCCAGATGGAATGAATCCACCCCAAATGTCCCTTTCAAGAGGAAGCCACCATGATGCTGTACCTCCAACACGTCCACACACACCGAGGCACCTCGCTCACGCAAGGTGTGTGTCCTCCAACCAAGTTTCACGCTGTAAACCCAGGTAACTTTTGAAACCCAAGTCTTGTTGATTCCCCTACTTCAGGTGCTCCATAGATGCTCGTTTGTCTGCAGAACCCTGCCCCAGGCAATTAAATTGTCCAACGTGACCGGCAGAATTTTTCTGTTAGTTCTGACCTTGTGTTGGGAGTACAAGTGTTTCTCCCCCTTCAAATTTCTGTCTTTGTTACTGATAAAAGTATGTAACTGATAATGCTTTTTTTCAGCTATGTTGCCAAGCACATTTATATAAAAATATACTCTTAGATTGTTTTGAGAATTTGATAAAGATGATAGCAACAATGATAATCTTCTTTGTTTTATGGTAATCTTTACGTGTTACTTTCATCATTTCTTACATGTTGGGGCCTACCATACATTGTACAGCATTAGTGCTATGCATCATGGTAGGAATATAAGTTGGCAAAGGAAATTTAGAAAATAGTTCTCTTGGCCGGGCGCGGTGGCTCACGCCTGTAATCCCAGCACTTTGGGAGGCCGAGGCGGGCGGATCACAAGGTCAGGAGATCGAGACCACGGTGAAACCCCGTCTCTACTAAAAATTACAAAAAATTAGCCGGGCGCGGTTGTGGGCGCCTGTAGTCCCAGCTACTCGGGAGGCTGAGGCAGGAGAATGGCGTGAACCCGGGAGGTGGAGCTTGCAGTGAGCCGAGATCGTGCCACTGCACTCCAGCCTGGGCTGGGCGACAGAGCGAGACTCCGTCTCAAAAAAAAAAAAAAAAAAAAAAAAAATAGTTCTCTTATTTCTTAAAAAAAATTTGGTTGGGCATGGTGGTTCACAGCTATCATCCCAGCACTTTGGGAGGCAGAGGTGGGTGAATCACCTGAAACTAGGAGTTTGAGACTAGCCTGGCCAACACAGCAAAACCCTGTCTGTACTGAAAATACAAAAATTATCCGGGCCTGGTGGCATGTGCCGGTTGTCCCAGCTACTTGGGAGGTTGAGTCACGAGAATTGCTTAAACCTGGGAGGCAGAGTTTCTGGTGAGCTGAGATTGTGCCATTGCACTCCAGCCTGGGTCTCAAAAAAAATAATAATAATGACCAAAATGTTATTATGCATTACATGACTGTATATGAATGCTCAAAGCTACATTACTCATCATAGAAAAAAAAAATTAACTCTCCATTAACTGATAAATGAATAAACACTATCCGTATGAATGAATATAGCAGACTATGAAGGAACGACCAACATGTACTAAAGCATCAATTAACTTCAAACATAGTATGCTAAATGAAGGAAGTCAGATTCCAAATATATATATGTGTGTATATATTTATATGTGTATATATGTGTATATATATAATCCCATTTCTATTTTTTTTTTTTTTTTTGAGACGGAGTCTCACGCTGTTGCCCAGGCTGGAGTGCAGTGGCGCGATCTCGGCTCACTGCAAGCTCCGCCTCCCGGGTTCCCGCCATTCTCCTGCCTCAGCCTCCTGAGTAGCTGGGACTACAGGTGCCCGCCACCGCGCCCGGCTAATTTTTTGTATTTTTAGTAGAGATGGGGTTTCACTGTTGTCTCGATCTCCTAACCTTGTGATCCGCCCGCCTCGGCCTCCCAAAGTGCTGGGATTACAGGCTTGCGCCACCGCGCCCGGCCCCATTTCTATTAAAGAAGCAGGAAATTTATGGAGATGGAATATCATAGCAGCAGTGCTTAGGGCTGGAGATGGGAGTGGGGATTAACTGCCCATGAGCAAGAGAGAACTTGCACACAGTATCAATTTAATAAAGCATCAAATTGTATACTTTCTCAGCGGGTGAATTTTATGATGAGTTCACACCCAGTATAGGGCATATCTCTTGCACCCTGCCCTCTGCGGGTGGACGCCAGCTCCCAGCCGGCTATCAGTGACCGAAGGTCCTTGTGATTTGCACATGGTGGCTTCCGTCAAGGGCCCGGTGGGCAGAGGCCCTGGCTGAGTCAAGGCTGGCAAGGCTCATGGCTGTGTTCTGGATGCAGGCCCAGCAGATGTTTGACGGGGAGGTGGCGAGCCTGGAGGCCCTCCGGGGCACGGGCCTGGTGCAGGCGCTGAGGTCCATGAAGGTCATTGATTTGCCGAGAGGTGGGGCCACCTTTGTGATGGAGCATTTGAAGATGAGGAGCTTGAGCAGGTGAGCGTGGGTGAGAGACCCATATGCACACAAATGCACAGGCAGAGAGAGACTCACAGAGACAGAGTGACTCAGAGAGAGACAGAGATAGGGATGGGGCAGAGGGAGACAGAGAAATGGAATAGCCTCTGATTGAGCCGTCCACACAACTGCCCAGTTACCAGAGGCAGGACCAAGAGTTCCACCCTGCCATTCTTAATGGAGATAAAAAGTTACTGCTTTCTGATATATGACTAGTATTTTTTAGATTAGTTTGCTATGATGAGGCTGCATAAAGTAAATATATATATTATATATATAATTATATATATTACATAATATAATTATGTAATATATATTACATAATATATATATAATTATATATATTACATTATATAATTATATATATTACATAATATAATTATATATATATAAAAAAATTTTTTAAAACACAGTCTCACTCTGTTGCCCAGGCTGGAGTGCAGTGTTACAGTCTCGACTCACTGTAACCTCTGCCTCCAGGATTCAAGTGATTCTCCCCGCTCAGCCACCTGGGTAGCTGGGACTATGGGTGCCCGCCACCACACCTGGCTAATTTTTCTATTTTTAGTAGAGGTGGGGTTTCACCATGTTGGCTAGGCTGGTCTCAAACTCCTGACCTCGGGTGATCCACCCATCTTGGCCTCCCAAAGTGCTGGGATTACAGGTATGAGCCGCCGAGCCCTGCCTGCTTTGTACTTTATAGCACATTAATGCCAGCTCACTTTGGGCAGAATTAAGCTCATCTGTGAATTATCTGGAGTCCTTACATTTTTTTTTTTTCCTTTCTTTTTCTTTCTTTTTTTTTTTTTTTTTGAGATAGAGTATCGCTCTGTTGCCCAGGCTAGAGTGCAGCGGTGTGATCTCAGCTCACTGCAACCTCCACCTCCTGGGTTCAAGCAACTCTTCTGCGTCAGTCTCCCAAGTAGCTGAGACTACAGGCACCCACCACCACGTCTGGCTAATATTTGTATTTTTGGTAGAGACGGGGTTTCACCATGATAGCCAGGCTGTTCTCGAACTCCTGACCTCATGATCCACCCACGTTGGCCTCCCAAAGTGTTGGGATTATAGGTGTGAGCCACTGCACCCAGCCTCTATATTTTTTTCTAATTATTAAATTCATAGTCATTGTATAAAATGTGGAAAATACAAACTCATGTGAAGACATAAAGCCACCATAATTCCATCAGCAAAGGATGATCACTGTGAACATTTTGGCATATGATGATCATCCCAGTCTTTTTTTTTTTTTGAGATGGAGTCTCACTCTCTTGTCCATCCTGGAGTGCAGTGGTGCGATCTTGGCTCACTGCAACTTCCTCTGCCCAGGTTCATGCAATTCTCCTGCCTCAGTCTCCTGAGTAGCTGGGATTACAGGCACCTGCCACCTCACCCAGCTAATTTTTGTATTTTTGGTAGAGACAGGGTTTCACTATGTTAGCCAGGCTGGTCTCAAACTCCTGACCTCAGTGATCCCCCACCTTGGCCAGCCAGTGACCCTCACTGGGGTGCAGCTCCTGGGGCAGCACCGTGTGGTGAGACCCCAGCTCCCATTGTGGGCACTGAGCAGACCCAGTGGGCTTCCCCTGACGTGCCAGCCCAAGGAAGCCCCCTGGTGCCCACATTGACATTTTCTGGAACCTCCAGGGGTTGGCTGGTGCTCACCTCACAGCCCTCCCATCTGCAGGGAGCTGGTCTGGCCGATCCCGAGCAGCAAATGGTGCTGCTGCCAGGAAGGCTGACCCCAGGCTTGGGCGGGGTCTGCAGTCCCGGCCTTCTACCCTGGCAGCAGCTGACCTGGCTGTGGACTCCTGAACCCAGTGCAGCAACCAGGGGTGTGGGGGAGAGTGGCCTGGAGGGTCTATTGTGAGAAAGACCCAGAAGCCAGAGATCCCATAGCCCAGCCCCACTCAGGTCTCACCCGGGCTCTTAGGTGCTGCGTGCTGTGTTACTCGCCAGCTGCTCGGCATTATAATTGAAGGCTGCTGCTGAAGCTCGGGCAGATCCCAGCTGCAAAAGGCAGTTCCTTTCTCGAGCTGCAGAACGTGGCTGGTGGGGCTGGCTCAGCCCGGGGTGAGCGTTCGCACTAGGGCTGAGTTCAGAGATGAGTGGGTGGGAAGGTGCAGCAAGGCCCTCAAGGGTCCCCAAAGGCGCCGAAACCCCATGAGGGAGAGGCTGGAGACAAGGCCCTGGTCCAGCACTGGGCCCTACAGGGCTGTTGGGTGGCCGTGCCAGTGCCAGCTGGGTTTTGCCTGAGTCCTGGCAGGGGCATCCGTGACATGGTCGGGCAGTGGCGCAGCAGTGGTCATTGGGAACATTCTCCGGGTATCTCGGGGGGTGTCACAGAGAGCAGCTGTGCCGTGAGGCTCTCGTGCCGTTGCACAGGAGGACGCCAGATCAGGTAAGGAGCTTCGGCCCAGCCTGGCTCAGCTTCTGCATCCTCCCTGGAGGGGGATCCCCCGCCTGTGCCCCCAGCTTTTGTTTGGCTGAAAGTTGGGCCTTGAGGCCCCAAGCATCTGAGGAATTTGGGTCTCTCACCCCAAAGTCCAGGCTCAGTGTCCTCCCAGAGGATCCTCCTCCCCCAGGGCCCCACAATGACTCAGGCCAGGACTGTGAGGTGCCTTGGCGGCCTGCGAGGGAACAACTGTCTTCTCAGACACAGTACCAGGCGTTGGACCTGGGGGTCTCCACAGGGTGCCTCTGACTGATATCCCTGTCCCACATAGAATGCTGTGGCCTTGAAGTGCCCCTCAGGAAGTCTTTGTGTGCCCCCCCATCCTAGACAGAATCAGCCCGTCTGTCCCTGCCCTGCCCCAGGGGCCGTCTCCCCAGCCCCAGAACCTCCCCCAGGGATCCTGGGCCTCTGAGGGTGCAGGTTCCAGGGAGACAAGGGGCTGCCCCATCTGGCTACCCCACCCCCACAGGGTCCGGTGCCAGGCAGGTGGGAACCGGCAGGTGGCTTTGAACCTCGGCGGTGTCCCGAGGCGGCAGGTGCCCTGCCCCTGCGCTGGCCTCCAGGCCTTTGCATGCCTGGGTTCCACCCTTGACAACCCCTCACTCTGCACTCAAAAACCAGCTCAGGGCTCCCAGGGGCTCACAGGAGCCCAGAGTGCGCCCAGCCCAGGACTTGGTCCTCTGTCTAAGGCTATTGTCGGACCCAGCAAGAGTCTGTTGAGCGCCTACTGTATATGCATACAGTTGAGGGGGAATGTTGTTCGGCCTCCACATTGCATACCAGTCTGGTCTAGAGAGCTGGACCAGTTCAGGGGCGTTGGGGCCCATCCCCCAGGGCATCGCCACACCCACTGGGCTTTGCCCTTGTTGGCTACCCCCACCCTGCCCCCTGCTATGCACACTCTCCAGGCCCCAGGCAGTGCCCCCTGCCAGCCTTCTCGGAAGGCCTCCCTGACCTTCCCACTGCACCCCATGCCTCCCACGGTGGTCCTCCCTCCTGACCCCCTCGCACCACCATGCCACCTCGTATCAGCCTCAGAGGGCCCCTCTTCCTTGCTCTCTCCCAGGGCAGCAACCAGGACAGCAGCCGAGGGGACGGGGAGTGCCCAGGAACATCATGGCCCGGCCCCCAGTGGTCTGCTCTGCCCATCCTGACCCAAAGCCTGGGATGACCCCTCCTCGCCGGAAGGCAAGGGAGGGCTGGATCGGCAGACTCCATCACTCAGGGGGCAGCTCCCACACGCTGACTGTACACAGCTGTTAGCGTTTTGAAGAGCAAAATAAACTGTTTTAACAGCAGAGCAGTTACTCTTCTCTGCGGTGCAAGCTGAGGGTCTGGGAGTTCCTGCACCCTGCTAGCTGCCCCTCAGCCTGACCCCAGACAGCTGTGGATGCCCATATGCCTGAGGCCTGGTCAGCTTGGCGACCTGGGACCAGCCTGTCTGGCATCCCTGGACTCAGCTGCCTCCTCCAGGGAGTGATGCATCCGACCCAGGCCTGGCCTGGGGTTCCCGACACCCTCACAGGGCCCCAACCAGGCCTGGAGTGTTCCTACCCCCACTCCAATGAGAACACAGGGCGGCCCTGCACCTCCAGCCTCCTCCTTCCCCATTTTCACGTCTCCACTCCCCGCACTGCCGCTGTGCTGGGGGACCTGGAGACATGTGGGGTTTGCAGGGGCCTAGGCATGCCCGGCCAAGCCCAGCCTCAGGGATCACATGGTCTAGTCCCGCACCCCACAGCCCCTGCTTGGGACGCTCCCTGCAGGTCCCAGGAATTACTGCAAGGTGGGAGCAGGGCCTCAGAGCCCTTCCCCTGAGCTGAGGGCTGGCAGCCACCCTTTGGCTTTGGAGAAGGTGAGCCAGGTCTACCAGGGACTAATTATTTCTGCAGCAGCCGCTTTGCCTGCCCGGTACCCCCACTGTCCTCACCGCAGGCCCCATGGCTTGTTCTGAGTGTCCTGTGTGTGTGCACGTGTGTCTGTGAGCATGCTGCCTCATGTATGTGTGCTGCACGTGTGTATGTTGTCCAGGTGTGCATGTGTGCATGTGTGTGCTGCCCACATGGGTCTGTGAGCATGCTGCCTAGGTATGCACATATGTACACACGTGTGAATGTGCCACCCACATGTGCATGTGTGAGCATGCTTCCCATGTGCATGCGTGTGTGTATAGAATGTGTGGCCCACGTGTGCATGTGTATGTGCTGTCCATGTGCACACGTGTGTTTGTGTATGTGCTGTCCATGTGTGCATGTGTGTATGCTGCTCGTGTGTATGCGTGCATGTGTGAGTGTGCTGCTCACGGGTGCATGTGTGCTGTCCATGTGTGCATGTGTGTGCTGTGTGTGCTGCTCGTGTGCATGTGTGTAAGCGTGCTGCTCACGTGTGCATGTGCGTGAGCATGCTTGTCATGTGTGCCTGTGTGTGCTGTCCATGTGTGCATGTGTGTTTGAGCATGCTGCCCATGTGAGCCTGTGTGTGTGTGTGTGAGCATGCTGCCATATGGGCATGTATGTCTGTGTCTGCCTGCTGTGCCACCATGGTATGTGCCCTCCTGGGCTTCCCTGCCCCTTCATCTCCATGATGCCCTCTGGTCCCTGGCTCTCCCCGTGTACCCAGTTCCTTCCTCTCCCCAACCCTGGGTCCCCACCCCCATCCTCAGCCCACCCAGTGCTGATGGGGAATCAGGGACCAGAGTGTGTACCTCTCCCAGCCTGGCTGTATGACTGGCAGCTGAAGAGCCCTCTCTGGGCCCACTACCCTGCACTGCCTCCCAAGCGAGGTCACTTGTGCACCTGACACAGGCTGAGCTCAGCAATTGCGTCCCAGTTGCTCCAGCTCAGAAAGGGGCCCTGAGGATAGACCCAGGGTCACGGGTAGGCTCCAGGCCGGAGAGCTGCCCACAGCACAGGGTGGGCCCAGCAGCCACTCCAGACAAAAAACCACCAAAGGGAGCCATGGAGTGACAGGTGAGATGAGAACCCCCAGCTCTGGAAGGTCTGGGTCTGCTAGGCCCCTGCACCAACAAACGAAAATAATCCCCGGGCCTGACCGCGGCTCAACTCCTGCGCCTTGCTGGCGCTGCAGCCTCGGTGAAGACAGGAACTCATACCAGGCTGAGAGATGTTTCCAGTGAGGTCAGGCCCACTAGCAAGAGAGGACATGGTGGGCGGGGCTCAGCATAGGCCCGCTGCCTCCCCTCATCCACTCCCAGGCTGAAATCAGGGGGAGGTATCCAGGCTGGCTCCTCGCAGGCCTTCTGAATACACCCAGCCTGGCCATAGCAGGGCCAGGTCCCGCCAGGCTCTGTCCAGCTTTGTCGGGTCTCCCGCACACAAACCCTGAGCCTGGGGCCCAGCCGCCTGGGCCCTCCCACATGGGCAGCAGGGATGCAGATTCCACTCCACATCCCAGGAGCCAGCACAGGTGTTAGGACACCAGAGCCCTTGCTAACCAGGTCGGAGCCTCCCAGCAGAGATGGAGCCTTATCCTCTGGCTGCCCACCCCCCGCACCCCTCTCCTTGCAGCCTTTTCCCACTCCCTGACCTGCCCCAGGGGCTGCGGGGGCTGGGGTTCCACTTCACCACCTCAGGGTACAGCTCATCTCCCTGCCCCCAGGAGCTGTCACCTTGGATACCATCTGCACCCAGGCAGCTCAGAGACGCTTCCTCTGGGCCTCCCAGACCCCCTGGCCAGGCAGGAGACTGATGGGATCAACATCCCCTCTACCCAGGAAACCAGCTGGCCAGCTCCCGGACATTTCTGAATAAATGAATGAATAAACAAAAGAACAAATGCGTGGGGCACAGTGCCTCACGCCTGTAATCCCAGCACTTTGGGAGGCCTAGGCCGTGGGGATCCCGATATCAGGAGATCAGACATCCTGGTTAACACAGTGAAACCCCAGGGCCTCTACTTAAAAAAAAAAAAAAAAAATTAGCCAGGCATGGTGGCAGGCGCCTATAGTCCCAGCTACAATGGAGGCTAAGGCAGGAGAATGGCATGAACCCGGGAGGCGGAGCTTGCAGTGAGCAGAGATGGCGCCACTGCACTCCAGCCTGGACGACAGAGTGAGAAAAAAAGAACAAATGCTCCAGGCCTTCCCACAGAGCTTAGGGTTGCCCCCACGTAACTGCAGGAGGAGGAGGTCAGTCCACAGGGCCCTGGACCCAGCTTTGTTCGGACAGCAATGCCCAGAGTGGGCTTGGGTGGCCGAGGCCTGGCGCCAACTTCCCCGCTGCACGCGGCTGGTCAGTGTACATATGGTCTGCTGGAGAGGTGGAGGCAGAGGGAGTAGAAGTTCCTGCCGCTGCTTCCCATGTTGCTCCCATCTGCCCGACTGCCTGGCAGGCCGGCCCTTTCTGGTGTGGCACCACCACGTGGCTGGTTGTGCCTGGTGGGCACGTTAGGAGTCGGGCACGGCATGCCTGGGCTCCATGCAGGGCCTGCATGCTCCCTGTCTCCCTCTGGGATCCAGCAGCATCTGAAAGGGTCATCAAATGATTTAGAACAGGGCCCCACCCACCCACCCACCCTGTGGCGGTTTGCTAGGCCCCTGGCCTGGGTGCCCAGACGTGTAGCCACTGTCCTCTGGCACTGGCCAGGGTGGCCTCTGTCCCCATTTCTCTCCTCCAAGAGATGGCTCTGCTGCCCAACCAACCCCTCCTGCTGCCCCCTCCCTCCTCTAGGTCAGACCGAACCCATTCCACAGGCCTGACTGTGGAGCGACACGGACTGCCCCGTTTCTGCCTGGTGACCAGTGCCCACTGTGCACTCCCCCAGGTCAGCCGAGCCTGGCACACAGTGGGTGCTCCCTAAATAGCCATAGAGGATATCACAGCCACCCCCATTTTATTCAGGGGTCACCAGCTCCCCTGCTCTTAAGGCCAGGCCAGGCTTTCCCTGAGCCCTAGTCTTATTTGGAGGGAGGGGAGGCCGTGCCTACAAAGCCATGTTTCATCAGCAAGAGATGAATAATTAATGCCACGGTGCCTTTGAAAACTTTTGGTTTTTATTTTAAACTTTTTTTTTTTTTTTTTTTGAGATGGAGTCTTGCTGTCACCCAGGCTGGAGTGCAGTGGCCAGATCTCAGCTCACTGCAAGCTCCACTTCCCGGGTTTATACCATTCTCCTGCCTCAACCTCCCGAGTAGCTGGGACTACAGGCGCCCGCCACCTTGCCTAGCTAGTTTTTTTGTATTTTTTAGTAGAGATGGAGTTTCACCATGTTAGCCAGGATGGTCTCCTTCTCCTGACCTCGTGATCTGCCCGTCTCGGCCTCCCAAAGTGCTGGAATTACAGGCTTGAGCCACTGCACCCGGCCATATTTTTAACATTCTTTTCTACGTATAGAAACAGCACTTCTGTTAGGCACCAAATTTTTTTTAAATAAACGTGGCAGTTATTTGTTCAATCTCTGGTGCTCCCTGGGGCGGCTGGCACAGGGGTGAAGAGAACTTACCAGGGCTCCACTGGCAGACTCTACCATGTGCCTGCCCACCCCCCTCCATGCACAGCCAGGGTGGAGGACACGGGGCAGAGGGCAGAAGTTGGTGGGCAAGGCCTGGCCAGAGGCCAGAGCTGCAGGGCAGTTGCACAGTGGCCAAGCCCTGTGGCACACTGGGGCCCTGCCTGGGTCCTTGAGCTTCCCAGCCTACAATGGGGTGATGATGCAGGGGGCCCAAGGTCTGATCACGCTAGCCAGGTATTCTAGGCGGAGGCTAGGAGCTCCCCTCACAGAGATGGCAGGAAGCATGGAAGGGCCCAGGCGGGCAGGCTGAACCAGCCATGAGGTGTGCAAGGCGAAGCTCTGCACCACCCACCAGGCCCACCTCTCTTTGTGCTCAGAGCCTGGGGACCGAAGCTGAGGCCTAGAGAACTAATGGGCTCCATAATTCTCCAGGTCGAGAGGTAGCCAGTGTTGATTTCTTGGCTCTTCAAGTCCATCCACAAATCCCATTACTTGGTGCCTTCTCAGAAATTACACTTCTATTTTCAAATTACAAGTTGAGGAGACTGGGGCAGCAGAAGACAAAACAGTATGTTCCAAGTGCACCTTCCCTGGCCAACTGCCACAGCGCCTGAGCCCTCTGGCCCATCCATAATCAGGGGTGAAGGAGTGGCCATCCCAGCTCAACGCCCCCCTGCCACTGTCCGGTTGCAACTGCCTGGCTTGGACACGGTCTTTTCTAACCCTGCAGCCAATCTTCTTCAGCTTCTCCTGAAAAGGAAGGTGGAAGCCATGGGCTCCAGCAGCAGCCAGCTGAGGCACGGTGGTGGCTGAGGCGGCTGCAGCTCCAGGGAGGGGGTCTGAGTCACCTGTCACTATTTCCAGGGCTGGGAACACCAGAGAGTTGGTCTCTCCCCTTCTACTGCCTCCAACATGGTAACAGTGGCAGCAGCAGCACATCCAGGGACCCAGGCCAGTTTTAAACCTCTCACCGCACCCCCAGTGTCCTGGGCTTTGGAGACCGCTAGTGCAGACAGCCATTCTGAGGATTATTCCTCTTCTCCCCATTCCACTGCTGCTGCTGCCAGGCTGGCTACCAAGGAGCAGCAAGACCAGTCGCTGCTGTCACACGCGTCTGTGTGAAGAGACCACCAACACACTTTGGGTAAACAATAGAGTTTTATTCACCTGGGTGCAGGTGGGCTGAGCCCAGAAGAGAGTGTCAGCGAAGGGAAGATAGGAGCGGGGCAGTTTTATAGGATTTGTGTAGGTAGTGGAAAATTACAGTCAAAGGGGTTGTTCTCTAGTGGGCAGAGGTGGGGGTCACAAGGTGCTTGGTGGGGAGCTTCTCAGACTCATTTTCCAGGAGAAGGAATTTCACAAGATAATGTCATCAGTTAAGGCAGGCACCAGCCATTTTCACTTCTTTTGTGATTCTTCAGTTGCTTCAGGCCATCTGGATGTATCTGTGCAGGCTTGGGCTCAGAGGTCTGACATTCCTGACTTCTTATATTAATAAGAAAAATAAAATAGTGGTGAAGTGTTGGGGCAGCGAAAATTTTGGGGGGTGATATGGAGAGATAATGGGCGATGTTTCTCAGGGCTGCTTCGAATGGGATTAGGGGTGGCATGAGAACCTAGAGTGTGAGAGATTAAACTGAAGAAAGATTTTGGGGTAAGGGGTGATCTTGTGGGGTTGTTAAAAGGAGCGTTTTTTGTATAGAATGACTGGTGATGGCCTGGGTGCAGTTTTGTATGAATTGAGAAACTAAACGGAAAACACAGGTCCAAATAAGAGGAGGAGAAAAATAGGTATTAAAGGGCTAAGAATTGGGAGGACCCAGAATACCCAATTAGAGTGTGTCCAAGGGGGTTCAGCGTAATTATTTGCTTGGTTGGCGAGTTTTTGTGCTTTATCCTTGAGTTTTTTTTATGTTGTCATGTACCAGGCCAGATTAATTTAGGTAGAAACAACACTCTTCATTTAAAAATATACAGAGTCCTGGCTGGGTGCAGTGGCTCATGCCGATAATCCCAGCACTCTGGGAGGCTGAGGCGGGCAGATCACGAGGTCAGGAGATTGAGACCATCCTGGTTAACACAGTGAAACCCCATCTCTATTAAAAATACAAAAAATTAGCCAGGCATGGTGGCGGGCACCTGTAGTTCCAGCTACTTGGGAGGCTGAGGCAGGAGAATGGCGTCAACCTAGGAGGGGGAGCTTGCAGTGAGCCAAGACAGCGTCCCTATACTCCAGCTTTGGTGACAGAGTAAGACTATCTCAAAAAAAAAAAAAAATACATACACACACACACACTCCTCCTTCTTCAGCAGTCAGTCAGTCAAGCCCTATTATTGTCTTCTTATATTAATAATAAGAAAAACAAAAAAAATAGTAGTGAAGTGTTGGTGTCATGAGGGGAACAGGAAGCTGTTCGGTCCTATTTGCAAATTGAATTTTGGGGGTAAGGAAAACTAGTGTACATGTGCCTGTCCACTTAACAGGCAGACACATGTAGGTGGAGGCGCCACAGAGGAAGAAGAGACCTTGTGTAAGGCAAAACTGGAAATGTAAAGTGGGTGAAAGAATTGGAGCGTGCCTTCCCAGCAAAGGTCATCTATCCCACTCCAAGAGGGAGTTAAGAGTGGCAGTTAGGGGATGAGACCAAGACCAGCTATGATGGTCTGGAGAAAAAGTATAAGCCAGCAGTGTAGACAAGGGCACCATTTATGGATAGGTGAGAACAAAGAATAGGAGTATGACTAGATTGAAGATAGCAGGGATGAAAAGTTTTTGGGATGCAGTCCAAGTAGTGGGGGTGACTGTGTAAAGCCCTGTTGCAAAGAGTAGGGTAAAGAAGAATAGACCTAACAAAATGAAAGGGTATGTTAGGCTCATTAAGTGTGACTGCTGTTCTTCAGAAATGTGGGTGAGTTTAAGGGAAGCGGGGTGAGTACTTACAACTTCCAGGAAGAACAGGAGAGATCAGGCTGGCTGGCTGACAGACACAGCTTTATTCTGGAATGGTGAACCCAATGGGGAGGGTCCTGGAAGCAGACGACAGTTGGGGTACTATAGATGACTAAGTAGGGTCCAGTTCATCAAGGTTGTAGAGTTTGAGGGGGTCAGATTCTTAACAAGAACTGATCGTCCAGCTAGGATGTCTTCATATGGCTGGGGATCTGCAGTAGACAAGAGAAGATCAGCAGCCTGGCAAATTTCCTGTCTAGCCTGCTAGAGGACTGGAAGATAAGACACCTAGAGGGATGGTGTCTGGGATAAGGTTGGGGCCAAGCAAGAAAGTGCGTCCATATAAAAGTTCAAGTGGACTGTACCCTGTAGCATTTTGAGGACAGGCTCTAATTCTGAGAAGGGCAAGAGGTAAAAGTACTATCCAGTCCTTTTAAAGTTGGAGGCTGAGCTTGGTGAGGTGTGTCTTTAAAAGACCATTAGTCCGTTCACCTTTCCTGAAGATTGAGGATGGTAAGGGTACGAAGCTTCCACTGAATACCAAGAGCCTGAGAAACTGCTTGGGTGGGGAAAAGGGCAGCAATGAGCTGTGTCCGTAGTCTAGGAATAGTAAGGAAGCAGATAATTTAGTTAAATGCCTTGACCTAATAAGGCAACTAACTGGGCAGGTGGGGATAACTAAAAAGGAGTGCATAAAAGAATGTTGTCCAAGTTGGCACCAGAGTTGGGGAGTTTTAAGAGGTTTAGAAGCCTGGTCATCAATACCCAAAACAGTTATGGAGGCCAGGGAAACAGGCCCTTGAAAGGAAGGTAATGTGGAGTGGGTAGCCTCCATACTGATTAAGAAGGGGACAGACTTACCCTCCATTGTAAGAGTTACCCAAAGCATCTGTGATGGTCCAGGAGGCTTTCGAGGCAATCGGGCAGCACCAGTCTTCAGCTGCTAAGCCAAGAAAATCTGGGAAGGAGTCAGTCAGAGAGCCTTGGGCCAGGGTTCAAGGGGCTCTGGGAGTGGCTGCCAGGCAAGCTGGACAGTCCAATTTCCAGTGGGGTCCCACACAGATGGGACATGCCTTAGGAGGAATCCCAGGCTACAAGCATTCCTGGTCCAGTGGCCAGATTTCCAGCACTTGAAGCAAGATCCTGGGGGAGGAGGCCCTGAAGGACTGCCTGACCACTGTGGCTTAGGCGTTTTGAAGTTCTTGTGTGCTGCAGATGTGGCTGGGGTTTGTCTCACAGTGAAGGCAAGTAATTGCAACTCTTTTCTCTTATTGTACACCTTGAAGGAGAGGTTAAGTCCTCTTGTGGGGTTTGAGGGCTGGAATCTAATTTTTGGAGTTTTTTTCTAATATCGGGAGGGGGTTGGATAATAAAATGCATATTGAGAATGAGATGGCCTTCTGGCCTCTCTGGATCTAGGTAAAGCATTTTAAGGGTTATTGCCAAACGGGCCATGAACTAGGATGCGGTTTTATATTTGATGAAAAATAACCTAAACCCTAACTGATCTGGGAAAGGTCAGATAAAGAAAAAGGAGCATTAACCTTGACTATGCCTTCAGCTCCAGCCACCCCCTTAAGAGGAAATTGTTGGGCAAGTTGGGGAGGGCTACTTGCAGAATGAAACTGTAAGCCAGGCCGGGTGTGAGGAGAGATGATAAAAAAGATTATACGGTGGGGGAGTGGAGGCTTGGGAAGAGCTGGGACCTAGTTCGGCCTGGCAAGGAGCAGCCTGAGGAGGAGGGGAGAGGTCAGATGTGTCCATAGAAAAGCAGGATTCAAAGGACTCAGAGCTTGGGATGGAGACTGAAGGAACAGACAGGAGAGAAAGGAGGAGGATTTGGCATGAGTTGCATGGGAGCAGAGATTAGGAAAGGAACAATGTGTAAAAGAATACCTGGACATCAGGCACCTCAGACCATTTGTCCATTTTACGACAAGAATTACCTAGATCTTGTAGAGGGAAGAAATCGAAAGTGCCATTTTCTGGTTATTTGGAACCATTATCGAGTTTGTATTGAGGTCAAGCAGTATTGCAGAAGAAAATAAGGCATTTAGTGTTAGGTTTTAGGTCAGTGAGAGTTTAAGTTCTTGAGAACACAGGCTAAGGAGAAGGAGGAGGAATGGTGGTGGAAGCTTGCCTACAGTGAAGGAGTAAGCCCAGAGAAAAGAGAAGGTAGAGACACAGTGGGGGGTGGGTGGTACTTGCCACCCAGGGAGGTGGTGCTTGCTACCAAGGTGAAGGATCAAAGCAGACACCTCTGAAATATAGGTGTAATTAGGCAGGCATCCCTGCAGTGATTAAACACCAAGGGAAGACTGTCTTCCCGAGTCCATGACTGGCACTGGAGTTTTTGGTTCATGGATAAAACGCCTCTCCTCTGTCTCTACCAGAAAAGGAAAGGAAATGAAATTAAAGGAAGAGAAAGATTGAAGGGTGGCACTGAAATTGAAAGGAGAAAGAGGTTAAGGGATAGTGAGAGAGGTTGGAGGAGAGAGTAAAAAGAGGCCGCTTACCCGATTTAAAATTGGTGAGATGTTCCCTTGGGCTGGTTGGTCTGAGGACCTGAGGTCATAGGTAGATCTTTCTCATGGAGCAAAGACAGGAGGACAAGGGATTGATCTCCCAAGGGAGGTCCCCCAGTCCGAGTCACGGCACCAAATGTCACGCACATCCCTGTGAAGAGACCACCAACAGGCTTTGTGTGAGCAATAAAACTTTTTAATCACCTGGGTGCAGGTGGGCTGAGCCCAAAGAGAGAGTCAGCAAAAGAAGATAGGTGGGGGGCAGTTTTATAGGATTTGTGTAGGTAATGGAAAATTAGTCAAAGGGGTTGTTCTCTGGCAGGCAGGGGCAGGGGTCCCAAGGTCCTTGGTGGGGAGCTTCTGAGACTCATTGTCCAGGAGAAGGAATTTCACAAGATAATGTCATCAGTTAAGGCAGGAACTGACCATTTTCACTTCTTTTGTGATTCTTCAGTTGCTTCAGGCCATCTGGATGTATATGAGCAGGCTTGGGCTCAGAGACCTGACAGCTGCCATCCAGCAGCCATTACCCAGCTGTGGTCCAGAGCCAAGTGGCAGCAGAGCAAGGGGCATCAGCTACTGCCAAGCCCAGAGCCATTTCCATCCTGCAGAAGAAGACCCACCACCCACAGCTTCTGCCATCTCTCTCCTTTTTTCCTCAGCCACAGGCTCCCAGACATGACAGCCATCATCAAAAAGATCGTTAGCAGAAACAAAAGGAGATATCAAGAGGATGGATTCGACTTAGAATTAACCTATATTTATCCAAACATTATCGCTATGGTATTTCCTGCAGAAAGACTTGAAGGCGCATACAGGAACAATACTGATGATGTAGAAACGTTTTGGATTCAAAGCATAAAAACCATTACAAGATATACAATCTTTGTGCTGAAAGACATTATGACACCGCCAAATTTAACGGCAGAGTTGCACAATATCCTTTTGAAGACCATAACCCACCACAGCTAGAACTTATCAAACCTTTTGTGAAGATCTTGACCAATGGCTAAGTCATGTTGCAGCAACTCACCATAAAGCTGGAAAAGGACAAATTGGTGTAATGATTCGTGCATATTTATTACATAGGGGCAAATTTTTCAAAGCACAAGAGGCCCTAGATTTCTAAGGGGAAGTAAGGACCAGAGACTAAAAGGGAGTAACTATTCCCAGTCAGAGGTGCTATGTGTATTATTACAGCTACCTGTAAAAGAATCATCTGGATTAGACCAGTGGCACTGTTGTTTCACAAGTGTTTGAAACTATTCCAATGTTCAGTGGCAGAACTTTCAAGCCTCAATCTGTGGTCTGATAGCTAAAGTGAAGATACATTCCTCCAATTCAGGACTCACACGATGGAAGACAAGTTCTTGTACTTTGAGTTTCTCAGCCATTACCTGTGTGTGGTGATATGAAAGTAGAGTTCTTCCACAAGCAGAACAAGATGCTAAAAAAGGACAAAATGTTTCACTTTGGGTTATATACATTCTTCATACCAGAAACAGAGGAAACCTCAGAAAAGTAGAAAATGGAAATCTATGTGATCAAGAAGTTGATAGCATTTGCAGTGTAGAGCATGCAGATAATGACAAGGAATATTATTTTGTTAAAGTACTTACTTAACAAAACTGACCTTGACAAAGCAAATAAAAAACAAAGCCAATCATGGAAGAGCTCCTGCCCAGGCCCTGGCCTTGGACAATGGTCAGAAAGCTCTTCCTTTAATCAATGCAGCCAATACTGGCCAAACCTGTAAGCACTGCCTAGAGAGGACATGAAATGACTAAATCTTGGCCCCAGTTCAGAGACAGCATCTGGTGACAGACTCCCACTTTCCACAATTTCCCCAGGCCCACCCCCAAGTCCCTCCTGCACAGGCACCTGAGCAGAGGAGACAGACAGCAGCCCTAGCCTGATGGTGTCCACACCCCGCTACCTGGCCATCTCAGACTCACCTATACCAGTCACACTGAGAAGTCCTCAGAGGACACATCAGCCTTGTTTAACTCAGTATTTCCCCAGGACTCCTTCTCCCCAGCTCTACCCTGGGTGTGGAGGACCCTCTGTGAAGGACAGACAACAGGCAGTCTCCTGTCAGACCTCATCCATCCAGGCTGGTGAGCACACTCACAAATCCAGCTTCATTCAAACAGCAAATGATTCCCACACAAGTGACATCTGGCAGTTCTTGTGTCCAGCAAAGCCATGGGACAGCAGGACTGCCCGGGGCTCCACATTTCCAGGCCAGGAGCAGCAGCCTCACCCAGCCTACCCCCACCCCCAGTGCCAGCCTGAGCAGGAGAGGTACCCCCCAACTCCAGGCTCAGCCCTGCAGACCTTACCAGTGCCTTGGCTGATGACCCCTCTATCCAGACATCTCAAGCTCAGCCATAAAGGAAAGCGAACATGGCTTTCTCTGGCACATGCCAAGAGCTCATGCTCCAAAAACGCTCTTGGACAGAACAAAGATGCTCACCCCTCCCACTGGTCCTTGCAGGTGCTGCTGAGACACTCCCATCCCTCAGGGATTCATGGGAGGCACCATGTGACTGGAACCCAGCAGCCCTGCATAGAGACCTTAGAAAGGTCTCTGTCCCCTCCCAGTTCAACCTGCCCAGGAGGGTCCCGTGACCCGTGCATGGTGCAGCTCCCAGGAAGCTGCCCAGGGAGGCCCTGTCCGTACCTCTGCAGCTGCAGAGCCCATGCCTATCTACCTTCTGGAAGGCGCAGCTTCTGCAGTGGGGATTTTGGATGGGGCAGAGCTTTGGGGAGGGAGATGCCAGGTGGAGGGAAGATCAGAGAAATGTTTGGGAACCCGGCCTGTGGTTGCCAAGAAAATTGGAGGACCTACTGAGCCTGCAGAAATTGAGGCCAGGCATGGTAGCTCACACCCATATTCCCAGGCTTTAGGAGGCCAAGAAGGCAGGATTGCCTGAGGCCAGGAGTTTGAGACCAGCCT